TAAATTGTTCAGAAAATTAATTTCAAATTTTGTTAACTCAAAATTATATACAGAATATATTTATTGCGAAGGTTTCTACTATCTAACCTGAAAGCTCAAAGTTTTCCCTAAAAATTCGTTTTTAAAAAGTGTCTCTACGATTTTTTGTTCTGAATTACTCACAAGTTAAGTAAAAAGGAACATTCCGACTTTCTCATAACTGCGTTATAAATCATCACCGCAATTAAAGATACAGATTTCTAATGCTAAAACTTTGCTCTATCGAATGGTAATATAATTGTTTATTAATGTTTCCACCATTGTGATTACATAACTTCCTTAATTACTATTTAATTACAATTTGATTCTTTATATTTATCAATCATTCTCTTTGTTTATTTCTCTTTCATTCATTCTCTTTCTCTCAACTTTCACCATCCACTCATATCCTCTCCCATCCTCGTTTAATACATCTATTTCATCTTCATTCTCTCCATCCACAAACCTACACATACTCTCAAGTGTCTTACTGACTCACTCTCCCATCCACACAATCTACATCTTCTCTCCTCATCCTTCAACTAATACTTATTTCCCTTCGTTTCATTTCCGCACCTCCATCTTGCTACTCTCTGTATTTTCTTTCCCTCGGTCCTATTTTTGTTTCTTCTTATATATTCTGGGATACCTTGTACCCATCTGTATTCCTCACATGACTTTGATTTACTCACTTTAAATCCCCTCTCCTGTTCGTCTACCTCCGTATCTCTGTCTTTCATCCTGGTCCACTTGTCCTCTCCTTCTTCCTGTAGTGCTTCTTCACTTCTACCACACCTCCACAAATAGTTCCGCCTCTCTATACTTTCCTTTGTCCAATCTTTTTCCTCCCTCTCTTTCTCCTCTCTTCTTCTTTCTTTAATACATCTCTGTCCTATTTCTCCTACTTTTCCACACTCCATTTTGTCCTCAAACCACCCTGCTCTCTTGCCTGCTTCAATTCTTATTTTCTCTCTTTTCAATTCTTCTCTTACTACATATCCCGGTGTTGTTCCATCCAACTTTAATATCCATCTTAAATATTTCTCTTGCAGCTTCTCTACTTCCTTCCATTCTTTATACCCCCATATCTCCACCCCATATAAAAGTATCCCCTTCACTATGCTATCGAATAACTTCACTCTCCATCTTATGTCCCCCTTAAACTTTCTCTCCCCAAAGCTCCATATCCACCCCATTGCTATCCTGGCTTTTCTTACCCTCTCTCTTATATGTCCATCCTCCTTATTATTACTTTTCATAATATATCCTAGATATTTAATTTCCTTCACTTCTTCTATTTTTTTTTCCCCCCACCACCAGCTTCCTACTTTCTTTCTTCCTCCATCATTTTGGAATACCACAACTTTCGACTTTTCCGTACTTAATTCTAGCTTCTTTCTCTCCAAATATCCTTTCAGCATCCTCAACATCACTCTCATCTGTCCTTCCTCTTCCGCTACCATTACAATATCATCCGCGTATTCCAGTGTCCATACTTTACTACTCCCTACTTTTACTCCGCCTGGCCCTTTTTCCATTTCCTCTTCAATGTCGGCAATATATATATTAAATAACGTTGGGCTAAGCGGACACCCTTGCCTCACTCCTTTCTTCACCCTAAATTCTTCTGTTTCTTCATCCCCTATCCTTACTCTGCATCTCGTATCCTCATAAATCTCCCTCACCCTATCTATTATACTTTCTGTAATTCCTCTTTTCTTCATCATATCCCATAGTACTGCTCTATCTATATTATCAAACGCTGCTTTTAGATCTGCAAACAACACCCATAACTTCTTTTTATCCTTTAACCTTCTTCCTATTAAATATTTTAGTATCTTTATATTCTCTATTGTGCTTCTTCCCTTTCTAAAACCTGCTTGTGATCTTCCCCACCCATTCTTATCATCTAATTCTTCAACGATTCTCTTGTTTAATATATTCGTATATATTTTATAAGATGTACACATTAAAGTCACTCCTCTGTAGTTTTTTACGTCTTTCTTCTCTCCTCTCTTCCATATAGGTACTACCATTCCTATCCTCCATTCCTCTGGTATACCTTCTCCACTCCATACTTTCTTTATTACTTCTCCTAACTTCTTCCACACTTTTTCCCCCCCACTTATCCATACCTCGTTTTTTAACTCATCTATTCCTGCTGCTTTACCTTTCTTTAACCTTTTTATTTCCTCGTAGACCTTTTCCATCTCTAACTCCTCGTCTCCTCTTCTATCTCTCTCTATTCTTTTTTCAGCAATTGCTATCTGCTTATCTCCTCCTAACGTTTCCATGAAGAATTTCTCCCACTTTTCCATTGTTATTTCTTTACTTATTTCCTGCCTTCTTTTCCTATTCTTGTTTATAAAATTCCATGCCTGTTTTTCAGTCCTTATTTTTTCTACTTCCTTCTCTTCCCTTTTCATATATTCTTTCTTCTTCCTCTCACATAATTCCCTGTAATCTTTCCTTTTCTTTATGTATTCTCTATACTTTCCTTCCTCTTGACCTTTTCTATACTCTCTTCTAGCTTTATGCGCTTTTCTCTTTTCCACTTTACATTCTCTGTCCCACCACGGCACCCATCCTAACCCTCTTTTCTTTGTTTTTTCTTTCCTTGACATTGCTTTCTTAATTTCTTCCTGTAGCTCCTTCCATTCTTTTCCTCCTTCCGTTTCCTTCCATCTGACCTTTTGTATATTTTCTCTATACTTTTTTTCTCCCTCTTCTGTCCAATCCTGCACTTGCCCTCCCACACTACTCTCCTCTATTTCCTCTTTCTTCCATTTATTTTTTATTATTACTTCTATTGGTTGGTGATCTGACTCTATTCTATCCCCTACCTTCAATTCTTTTATCCTCTCCCATGCACTCCAATTTACAATCCCGTAATCTATCACAGTTTTTCTATCGTCTTTTTCATATGTCCACTCTCCCATTTCATCTCCTCTTTTTTGGCCATTCATTATTATCCAGCCTCTCTCCTCTACCATTTTTAACATCTCTCTTCCTTCCCCATTTATCTTCTTATCTTTCGAGTTTCTTTTTACTACCTCATTTACTATCTCACTTTCCTCCCATCCTCCTTCTATTCCTATCCTCGCGTTAAAATCCCCTAATATGATCATATTTTCCTCCTCATCTTCTTTTACCTCCTTCTTTATATTTTCTAATGTCTCTTTCCTTCCTTCTCTATTATATACATTAATAATTCTCCATATCACTCCTCCTGTCTCAATCCTTCTTTCTTGTATCCCCTCTTCTTCCTCTCTTTCTCCTATAATTTCTACTAACTCTTTTCTTATCCCCGTGATTATTCCTCCCATTGCTCTTCCTATTCTATGTTTACGTTCTGCTTCCTGGCATTTCCAATTCCACCCTTCTGGTAATTTTGCTTTCAAATCTTCCCATTCCTTCTTCTCTATCCACGTTTCCATCAATCCAATTATTGTACATCAAATCCTCTTATGTACTCCCAAAAATCTGCTTCTTTGTTTTTTACTCCTGCCACGTTCCATCCTACTATCTTAATCTCTTCCACTTCTCTCTCACCTCTTACTTTCCCTTCCCCCTTTTTCTTACTTCTGTTATTTCTATTTCTTCCTTTTCTTCTATTCACTTCCTTCCTTCTTTCCCTCTCCCATCTCTCCTGTTTTCCATACACTCTCGTACTCTCTCCACCACATTCACACTTCTTTCTTTCTCTACTACATTCGTTCTTTCTTCTCTCTCTACTGACATCTTCTTTCATTCTTTCCATATTACATACATTCTTCTTTCTCTCTCCATCCACCCCTTTCTTTCGATCCTCATTCATCCATATTTTCATCTCTATCTCCCCTCCCTCTCCCCCCCTGCCCCCTTTGAAACCCCTTTCTCATCTCTTGTCTCTCCTCATCCCATTCATACATTGTTCCATCTACCAAACATTTTCCCGTTCTTACATTTACTCTTTTCCCTTTCGCACTCTCCGCTTTCGCCCACTTTCTAATATTTCTCTGAATTTTATCATCTTCGCTTGTCAGGTCATCGTCTACATATATTCTCGACCCTTTTAGCTTACTTCTATTCTTCATTACTTCTCTTTTACTATCGTAACTACTCATTTTAACTAAAATTACCTTAGCTCCCCCTCTCCCTATATTAAACGCGTCTACTATTTCTGATTCTACCTCCCCCCCTCCCGTATTTCTAACTACTTCTTTCGCGATTTTTAGAGCACTATCTTCCGTATTCCCCACCCCCCTAATTACAATATTCGCTTTCTTCTCTCTTCTCTCCATCTGATTTATTCTTCTTTTCAGTTCTTCGTTTTCTTCTTTCCATTTCTTCTCTTTTTCTTCAAATTCTTCTTTCATTTTTCTAAAATTCTCTTTTAATTCTTCTTTAAATTTCTCATTATCTTCCTTCCATTTCTTCCTAAACTTATCATTCTCTTCTCCTATCACTTTTCTTATTATATTTTCCAGATCCTCTACCTTTACCTCCGACATTTTAATTATTTTGGCGGTCTCCTTCTTCTTCTTTGTATTTCTTTGCGTTTCTTTCTCAGCCTGACTTTCTTCTCTCGCGCGCTTCGCTTTCCACCTCTCAAATGAGTCTAGCACCGACGACGCGCTGCTTGTACTTTGCCTTCTTTCCCTCAATAAACTCTCGGCTTTCGTCGGCCTCCCTCGGCGCTGGTGGCTGTTCCCACTTACGGTGCTTTTCTCGTCCACGCTTTCTTTCTCCGTCACTCTCTCTTCTTTCTCGTACTCTCCGCCCGCCCTCCCCGCTACTGTCCAGTGTTTTCCCCACACCCACTCTCTTGTTCGGCTGATACTTCCACTATCCGTACTCCCTTCCACAGACTTTTCCTCCTCCTCTTCTCCTTTCATACGTCTGTTCACTCTAGTGTCGGTGCGCGCGCCTTGTATTCGCTTATCGTCGCGATGACGTCATACGTACGTCACTTCCCTTCCACGTGTTTCTCCGCACCGATGTTACTCCTTCTCTGTACCCGTGTTTCGGCGCTTTTTGAGGTTAGGTCCGCTGTCACCCTTCCTTCTTCTCCTATTGCTCCTTTCTGGTGCGAGAAAACTGTGGCTATCTTTTGCTTGCCTTTCACCCGGATCTATACAAACAAACTCCCTCTCACGGGAGTAGATTACGCAGAATCAGATTCTCCAATTTTACTTCTCCTTATAGAATAAATTTGATGCTTCATACGTGGGACAGACGAGCAGAAAATTAAAAACCAGGATTGAACATGGCAATCATATTAGAAACACTTCTGGGCGTTCTGTCATAACTGAGCATAGGAGACAGCTGGATCACGAATTCCAATGGAATGAAATCGTAATTTTAGACAAAGAGCCTTGTTATCGGAGACGTTTGGTTTTCGAGATGCTTAATATCAGGAAGCAGAAGAATAGTCTCAATTTACAAACTGACACCGATGGCCTCCACAAGGCTTATATTCTCATCATAAATAAAGTTTGACTTTCTGATACTAACAGTCCGTCTCCTCTCTCAGTTTGTGTTGATCCGCATTACTGAACGTACATCATAATCGACACGTAATGTCTGTCTTACTCATCTGCGTTCTTTCTATCTGTATATATTCCGAAAGTTTTTTATTCCTTTTTAGACACACTCATTTGATTTTCTTTTACACATGATTTCTGGTGAGTTCTGATTATAAGTACTTTGCCGGTTACTTATTATTATTATTATTTTAAAATACAATATAAATATTAACACATTTATAAAAATATAATATAACCTTAATATTAATACCTTTAAGAGAAATAAACATCATGCGCGTGTAAGATTGCAGAGATGAATATTTGTGATGCACAATTTGTAAATGTATTACACACAATTATATTATGAACCAAGTATTGATTTATCATCTGGAGTTGAAAAGTGAACGTATTACTCTCAGAAAAGTGGACGTGTCTCAGACATGACTCTCAAAAAAGAGGACATATTACTCTCAGAACTATGTAGTTTACATCTACTTTGTCTGAGGATAGTAGTACGCGACAGTATTTTGCAATTACAGGTTTTGGACCGACTTGTCCTTTCTCAGGTTTCTCTTTGCAATCAATTTCTTTTTCCCTCTTTTCCTCCCGCTCCGCCCCCTATCACGAATCAAATCTTATTCCCGAAACCTTCCAACAACCTAATTCGCGAATAAGATTTACAATTGTTTCAGTCTAGTAACTGAGAAGTAAAACTAATTAGAACTCTATTTACGATGAAATATTTCGTCTGCGGTCATTGTGCATAAGAGATGCACAAAATTTAACTAATAATAATCTGTTAATTTTGACAATAATTGGGCAGGTTTACACAATTTCCACATATTTTTAGGGGAAACCTGCTTCAGTTATTAAATAAAACTCTATCAAATTCTTGTGCACTTCCTACGCAGTATTGTTACAATTAATGAGAATACAGTAATACTAGACTAATTGGATAATTGTCTACTAACACTACGTATATTGCCAAGGATATAAAACTTTAAAATTAATAAAAAAACAAGAATTGAGATTAAATGTGTACTACTATGTGTAGGCATAGAATACTTACACCAATAGTGCAGAGGATTACATGTACATTTGTTGCGGAATATTCCTTCGCTGCGTGATATACAACATATAATGTCACCAATACAATCAGTATATGGTTAATCGTGTCCATTGTAGAAAAAATTATATGTTGAGCAGTCCAATTCGGCTTTCTATTTCCGGAACTTACAATACCTTCAGTAGAATCTTTATGTGGAAACCATGATTTAATTCCCATTGATTGAAGTGGAAATCCGCCGTTGTTTTTATTCATCACCATTGTTCTGTAATATATAATATATGATTTGTTATACCAGTATTAAGCTAATAATCAGTTGAAAGAATTCGTAATGTTGCATCGAGAATATGCATTGTCGCCGGCATAACAAGAGCCAGATATCATCATACACAGAGAAAACTGTATACGACAATAATGGAACGGTTCGAACTTTTTTTAACCCCTTTAATCCTAATTTTATTGAAACTATGTTATAAATTTGTATTAATTCATTTCATGCGTACTTTAATAAATTATTAATACTAAACAATTTTTTTCAAAATATTGACTATATTTTCAATATATACATTATTACATACATCACATTCCAGTTGATGTCAATAGATTAAAATTCCAACCGCTAATACGAGGTCTGGCTATTAAATAACGAGACTGCTTATGAAAAAGAGTTTCATTTTAAAAATTATTCTACAATTGAATGCTCCCCTTCAATGTACTCCCCTCCCCTCGCCACACACCGTTCCATTCGTTTTTTCCATTGGTCAAAGCAATGCTGAAAGTCTTCTTTTGTAAGAGCATTTAGGAGCTCCGCCGATTTTTGCTTCACCTTTTCCATCGACTCGAACCGGGTTCCTTTTAAGGCAGACTTGATCTTCGGAAACAGGAAAAAGTCACAGGGTGCTAAATCAGGCGAGTACGGCGCGTGTTCGAGCACTGGAGTGCTTCTAG